GGGAGGGAAGGGAAGGAGGAAGATGGAGAATGGATGGGGAAGGGAAGGGAAGGGAGGGAAGGAAGGGAAGGGAGGGAAGGAAGGGAAGGAAGGGAAGGAGGAAGATGGAGAATGGATGGGGAAGGGAAGAAAAGGGAGGGAAGGGAGGGAAGGGAAGGAGAAAGATGGAAAATGGATGGGGAAGGGAAGGGAAGGGAGGGAAGGAAGGGAAGGGAAGGAAGGAGGAAGATGGAGAATGGATGGGGAAGGGAAGGGAAGGGAAGGAAGGGAAAGAAGGGAAGAGAGGGAAGGAGGAAGATGGAAAATGGATGGGGAAGGGAAGGGAAGGAAAAGAAGGAAGAGAAGGGAGGGAAGGAAGAAAGGGAAGGAAAGGAAAGGGAAGGAGGAAGGGAAGATGGAGAATCAATGGGGAAGGGAAGAGAAGGGAAGGTGGAGATAAAAGAAGAAGAGAAGGAAAACATCGTTCCAAGTCCAATTAGGCCAAGAGAGCTGCCATTGTCACCTTCAAACGAGATGCCTCTGAATGTGGTGCTTCCTCCCTTCCAGCCACAGAAAAATCTTTATACCTGTCAGCGACCACTGAAGGGAAGGACACCTTGTGGTTTTCGTCTACATTGACATCGTTCTGGACAATAAAACGCTGCTGGGCTCCGAATGCACGAATGAGGCTGCTCCCCTCAAAGGTTTCCGAGATGTTGGAGTAGATGGGTGAGCGGCTTCCGGCTTCCAAGCGTTTCAGTTGGCAGGAGGTGGTGACAAAAAAGACCTGCCCAGAGAAGGGGAGAAAGAAGAGCCCACATTTACTGGGACTTCTTGAGTTTGGCTTGGTGGGAGCTCAGGTTTACCTGGGTGGCACAAGGGAGGTGGGAGAGCTTGATGCTGTGCGACGCAAGGGCTTCTCCTACATTCACCTACATTTGGGAGAAGACTGGGTACTTCAGCACATTATTTGTAGGGAAAATGCCCTCCAAGGAGAAGGAAGAGGAAAATGAGGAGGACTTTTTCTTCCTTGCATAAATTTTACTTTTTGGTTGAAAATGTTTGCATGGTAGGTTCCAAAGCCTCCATCATGGAAACCTACATTCTCTCTCTCCCTCCCTCCCTCCCTCCCTCCCTTCCTCTTTGTGTGTGTGTGTGGGTGTCTATCTATCTATCTATCTATCTATCTATCTATCTATCTATTTATCTGGATAATAAAATGCTGCTATTTATCTCCTTCCTTCCTTCCTTCCTTCCTTCCTTCCTTCCTTCCTTCCTTCCTTCTTTCCATCCATCCAGATCTCTCTCTCTCTCCCTCTCTCTCTCTCTCTCTCTCTCTCCATCCATCAGTCCATCCATCTAGATTATCTATCTATCCGTTCATCTATCTGGATCTAAAATCTATCTGTACACACACACACACACACACACACACACACACACACACACACACACAGAAATCTCTCTGAAAAAAATGGGTGCTTTAGAAATAGGAAATATAAATATGCACACATGCACACAAACACATAAGAAATTCTTGACTTGTGACTGTCATGGAGCCTGTCCATCATATTCATAAGTCATGACAGTCATAAATCAGGTGAGACACATAGTTCGCCTGTAAGCCCACGAATGGCTAAAAAGCACCTCCTTTTTCTCATGATTATAATAATTTATTCTGAAGATGCTACACACCTGAAAAGCAACGTATAAAGCTGACAGAGGCAAAATAGCCGCCAAAACCATCGGTGTGGCCACCATAATCACAACGTAGATCTCCAGAAGGTTAAACAGGAAGCCCAGCAAAGATTTCAGCTTATCTGGGATGATGGAATCAATTGCGTCCATCTCCTTGGAGAAACGGTTGAGTAGGTTACCGCTGGGAGTCTGCTCGAAGAATATCATTGGAGAGTGGAGAACATCCAACAGGAGGTGCTGGAAGAGCTTACGGGAAGCCACGACCCCAGCCAAAAACACCGCAGCAACCGATCCAAATTTCCCAAGGGCTGCAACAGGAGATGAAAGAGTCCAGCTGTTTCAGGCAGTAGATGTCGTTTTCTTATCAGGATTATCATCCCGTAAAAGTGAGGTGGGCAGCTATATACATTGATTGATTCATTGATTGTGTCAGGATGGCTGTGTTTGTGGTGTATGTTCTGGAATAACTCTGGAATGCCTCAAGCAATTCCAGCCAAACCCTGCTACACAAATACTGTGGGGGTAAGACACCCCTAACACCTCTTGGGGTGTGTGTTCTGTTAAAATACAACCTGTTGTGTCTTCAAATGGCTTCTACCGTACTGCCTTAAAATGGCGTCTACTGTACAGGGCTGTGGAGTTGCCATGGTAATGGCTTCACAGGAGGCTCTCTCTGCTAAGGGGGAAGATCCAACATTAGAAATTATGTTTGTTCTGGGTCACCAAAATCAGGGCTTTTCCTGTCTAATACAGGATTAGGATAAATAAATACTCGGGCAATGCCGGGTTATCGGCTAGTAAGTAAATAAATATTTCTTTGTTTACTTGTACATGGGAATGGGCCAAACCTTGCGTGACTCCTAGGAGAAAAAAGATGCCCACGCGGAGCTGGGTATGAGGTTGTGTCCCATTGGAAACAGGGTCATTGGCCCACAGGCTGAGCCAGTAGCCACGGCAGAATGAGAAAACTTGCTGGCAGGCAAACAGCAGTACAATATAAACCCAGAAGAGCGACCCTGCTGTTCTCAGGTAAGTCAGGAATGCTGAAATCTTTACCTAAATCAAAGGAATAAAATAAGAATAAGAACTGGCATTGACAAAAACACTATGAGTCAATTGCAGAAGGCAGCTGTACGGGGAACAGCTTCCATCCTGCAATGATATCCGTAACACGATCAAACCTCCACAACTGGAACTGGGTAGGTCTAGTTTGATGAAAAGAAGGATTAGGGGCGACATGATAGCAGTGTTCCAATATCTCAGGGGGCTGCCCCAAAGAAGAGGGAGTCAAGCTATTCTGCAAAGCACCTGCGGGCAGGACAAGAAGCAATGAGTGGAAACTAATCAAGGAGAAGAGCAATCTGGAACTTGGGAGAAAATTTCCTGACAGTGAGAACAAATAATCAATGGAACTACTTGCCTGCAGAAGTTGTAAATGCTCCAACATTGGAAGTTTTAAAGAAGAGATTGGACAATCATTTGTCTGAAGTGGTGTAGAGTTTCCTACCTAGGCAGGGGGTTGGACTAGAAGATCTCCAAGGTCCCTTCCAACTCTGCTTTTCCATTCCATTCCATTCCATTCCATTCCATCCTAATCTAATCTAATCTAATCTAATCTAATCTAATCTAATCTAATCTAATCTAATCTCCAAAGGATAAAAGCCTAAACAGCCTGAAAGCGAAAAGGGCCTCCACTGAATAAAATTGTGAGGTTCATCCTCACAGCAAGTTCCATAACTTCTAACAAAAAGAGGAGCAACCCCGCCAGAGAACTGAATAAGATCTTTAAATTACCTGTCCAGGCTTCTGCTTCTTGTCTTCTGCCATCAGTCTTTCTCCTTCTTCCTGGGTTGGCTTGTAATTGTCTGTCTTGGCCAAGGGCTCCCTGTTCGAAGACAAGAAAGGTGCATCAGTTGCACACGTTTAAGAAAAGAACTCACCGTCTTCCATCTAGCCTGATGCCTTGACCACTACACCAAATTGGCTCTTTATTGGTCACCTCACTATACCTCACCATGAACTTGAAAGCAAAGAGCAAACTGTATTTCAGAAATTGGAAAAACCTATTTTTGTAGTATCTGTAGCCTTTTTCAACTGCTTCTCTGGGCTTCATTAGAACAACCCCAATTGTTGGAGAGAGGTGAGTTTGCCCAGTTACTACTTAGAATAATATGTGTGTGTGTGTGTGTGTGTGTGTGTGTGTGTGTGTGTGTGTGTGTGT